TTTGCACTCTCCGCCATGTCGGTTTCCGTTCGTCGCAGTTCCTACGATTTATCATAGTATATATTTCAGCTAAGCTATTAAATAAATTATTTACAATTGTTGTAACTTACCAAGATTAAAGATGGGATGTACAGAGGCAATCGAGAGGATGAAACGCAGAAATTGCTCAAAATCGCAATCGCAAAAAGTGGAAGTATATGGAAGTATATGGAACATGCGATTGATTCTTCTTTTTCTTCTTTATTTAATTGGCCCAGGCCCTCGACAACGAGGTGAACATGGCCATGCTTACTAATCACAGTTAAAGCCGGAATCGCTTTTCAAAAAATTAATGAAATGATGCAATACCCGAAGCAGGGCAGACGAGCGTCCGTCCTACTCGAGCAAGCAAACGAGACTTTTTTACATGCGATTGATGATTACGGTGTTTTTGTTTTATCATGAAGACCATAAACAAAGATATCAGATCAAGAAGGGGACTAATCATGGATGATCCATATCGATTGCGATATAAATGTAATCGATCGATATGCATATATGAGGTTTGTTCGCGTCGTTGAATAAATATGACAAATAATCAACTATATATGATTTAATTTCTTACGGGTTACGACTTGTGACTCTGGGTACAGTCAATGCGATGCTACAAATGCTTTACAGCGGTTTTTGATTGGTCAATTTATAAAATTCTTTCTTCTGATTGGTCAATCAAACGCTTGAAAGCATTTGTAGCGAGATTTTTTTGACCGCACCCTCTATTGTATCAGGCCTTAAGCCCGTATCAGACTACCATCTCTGCAAGCCGACTGCCAACTCCGACTGCCGATCAATAATGGACCAATCACAATAAGACTGATTCAATGTGATTGGTTCATTATTAGTCAGCAGTCAGAGTTGGCAGTCGGGTCGGCTCGCAGAGTCGGTAGTCTGATACGGGCTTAACAGGCCTTCTGCAATAAGCCGCAAGTCAGAAGTTCTAAACGATCTTAAGTCATAATCGGTGAAGTTGGCCAATAGCCAACTTGAACGACTTGGTTAAGACTAGTTAAGATTTCTGACGTTCTGACTTGCGG